GTGAAAGGGGGTGGGGTAGGGATGAAGGTGGGGTAAACATATTGAATTTAAAAACAAACTTTAATTATTATTTTTTGGGGGTGGTTGTGGGGCTGGTTTGAGGGTAGGGACCAAATAAATTGATTTTTCAACAATTTTTTTAATTGGAAGTTGGAAGAGAGTTTTGGAAAATGTTTTCCTTAAGTTTTGAAGGGAAGTCATTTTCCTTAAATTTGAGAAAAATGAGTTGATTTGGAAAACATTTTTCAAAACATTTAACCCAACCAAACATGAGAAAATTGGAAAACATTTTCCGAAAAATGTTTTCCTTCATACCAAACACACCCGTAGTCTTTTATTAAATACATAAACCTATTTAGAGACTCTTCAATTCCATGTCCACACTCTACTTTGAATTGACTCAACTCCCCCACCCCCTTTGGCCTTGCCTGTTGTTTGAGAATTTGTTTTCTTTTAAGAATTAATAATAATATCTAATCAATGTGAATGATCTTATCTTTACAGCAAGCCGTCATATGTCTAGTACTTACACTTGTTCGGATGGTTGTTACGTATTATTTAACTAGTCTCTAGACACATACGTTGCACGTGTAATCTGTGTTAATTAGTACAAAAAAAATTAAATGATATAGATGCTACTAAAACTTCCAAGTAATATTGAGTAACTAAATTTTGAAAGAGAAGTATAATTGTTTGTTGTTATACACAATCAGTTGAATTGGTATATGTGATATTTTTCTTATATAGTTCTAATATATATATATATCTTATAGTTAGTATAACACTCACCTTATTTTTTTTTATAATATTTCAACAACAAATTGTTTATATGTGACATAAGTAACGTTGATTATGTTTGCAAGTGTTTCACACATCTTAAAGTTTGTATCTTGTGTAAGAAATCATAACATCATCCTTTTTATAGACACATGCATATCAAGAAGTTGTTGTCGAATAAAAATTGTATTTCATGTTGTAGAAACACTTATCAACATATGTTTCTTTAAGGTGGATAATGTATCATTGTCAATTTCATGGAATACACTTTTAAAATACTGTTTATTTGTGATAGAGATAGTTAATAATTAGTGACATTAGAAATTTTAATCAATATATAAAAATCCAATTGCACGTACAACTTTCTTTGTTTAATTCAAGATTATGAGTCTTTTCATATGTAAATTTGACAGGAAAATATTAATTAAATTATTTAAATATAATCATATTATGGAATATAATATAATCGATCTATACTCACGAATAAGGAACTTGATATAAATGGTTGAAATATTTAAAATATCTTATTTAAAAATACTGGGTGTACATCTTCAAAAAAGTATCTACTCATAGGAATAATAATTTGTATGAATCTAAAGTCTATATCTTTTATACTACTAAAATATGTCATACATATCACAATTTTTCTACAGATTACATTATATTTTTTGTGAAAACGAACATCGTACCTATTACTTACCTGATGATGTAAATGAGAAGTGGAGAATTCAAAATCATAAGGTAAAAACCTGAAACGGAAGAAAAATAAATAAGAATTAATAATTAGCAAAAACAAATCAAGAAAAAGATATATATTAAAGATAAACAAATACAAGAAATATCAAGAACTATATAGAGAGGATAAAAAGTAAAGAGATGATAATAGATTACAATATATATAGATTTAATGAAGTTAGTTATTCATATTCCTAACTAAAGAGATTCCATGCATCTGTTGAACCATTCAATTTAATTTAATTTAATATACGTCATAGAAAACTGAAAATATCTTGATGCTAAGAAAAACTG